TCGGAGCGAAAATTTGTATGAATAGTAGTTTTCAGCTGCTCTTATACATCATTTAAGTAAAATCTCAGGAAGATCAATAGTTTTGTCGTTTTAATTTTAATGACGTCAAGTGAAAACCAGCTATAAACACTTTGAATCCTTACAATCGGTTAAATCACAGAATCGGAGGCATGACTTACTATTACGCTATACTTAGTGAAACTCGAATAAATGGCTCAATCATAAAATTGCTGATAATCCAGGAATGTGCTAGAACGAAAAATAAAGCGTGCACTCTTCTGCGCGATTTAGCGCAGATCACACTACTCACGATAAAGAAATGGCGCGAAATTTCAAACTGAACTGAAACTATGACAAAGCGTATCGCGGAAAATCAACTCAAATTAATTACATCATGTCGATTTACTCGAAGATCTGAATGCGATTGTTACTGAACTCCGACACAACTATCCTACCATCACTAAGAACTGCTGTAGAGACTGGGTTATTTAACTCTCCTATCCCGCTCCCTCGTGTTCCAAACTTTGTGAGAAACTTTCCATTCAGTTCAAACACCTGAACTCTGTGATTCTGTTCACTACAGACCATCAGGTGTCCTGCCTTGTTAACTGACAAGCAACGAGGTGTATTGAAATCCCCGTCTCCCTTCCCCTTCTTTCCAAATTTGTACAAAAATTCTCCCTCCCTAGAAAACACTTTAATTGAATTTTCTCCGCTATCTGATACTATAAGAAAGTTGTCATACTGGACACAGTGCCAGGGTTTTTTGAAAGATCCCTTCCCGCCAATTTTACGTAAAAACTGACCACTAGGAGAAAATATCTTAATTACTTTGTTACCTAAATCAGTGACAATAACATTCCCGTCACTGTCTATAGATAAACCACAGGGATACTGAAGCTGATGATCAAGATTTCCTCGTTCACCAAACTGGTTGAGGAACTTACCCTGCTCACTGAACAGTTGAACACGGTGGTTACTACTGTCCACCACAAAAATATTCTCATTCTTTACATCAAAAGCTATTCCGCAAGAAAAGTTAAATTCTCCCTGTTTATCACCCTTTGTACCAAACGATCTTAAGTAAGTCCCATCACTACTGAACAGCTGGACTCTGTTATTACCAACCTCAGTCACTGCAATTTCATTACGTTCATTCACTGCCACTCCCCAGGCCTGACTGAACATTCCAACAGCCGAGCCTTGTCGTCCAAACGACAACACGGGTTTGAACTGTCTGGGTTTGATCTGAACCGCAAAAGGGCTGCCATGAACGTGATCCTCATTTACTTTTACTGATACAACGCATTTTCCAGTTTCTTTGGCAAAGTAAGTGATCTTGTAGCTGCCGTCTTTATTATCTTGGACCTGCGCTTTCGTCGCACAGCCCTGTCCTTGCGAATGTCTGATTTGCACTGTTACACTGGCACGCTCGTCATAACATTGCTCTCCTTCAGCATTTCTTGTTGTCAAAACAAACT